TGGAAGATAAGGACATAACACGGAGGTGGATACCAAACACGAGGGATAGGCCTATCAGGTTTGGGTTGGGCTCCGAAACCGTCGATCCAAAGGCTGCAACAAGTTCCCACGGCAACCTCTGGCTGGCTGGTATTGAACCTTTGCAGTACAAACCCTTTCCATACCAGATGCACTGGGGGTAGCGTCAAAGGATCAAGATGGGTTGAGGGCCCATTGCCAAAAGGGTTGCTGGGAAAACCGCGAGATGTGCGTGATGGGCCTCGCAAGCGCCCTCCGTTCTCCCTATAAGTCTTCAAACCAAGCCCACGGGCGCATGGGTTTGGCTCAAGATCAATTTACTTCAGATTGCCGCTTGGGAGGGTCAGGCGTGAGCGGGAGCTTCTTGATACTTGCGAGCGTGGAGCTTTGCGAAATTCCTTCGGGCTCTGCATTTATTTCAACTTGGAGAGGTTTCCCGGAAGGGACACCAAAAGGAAACAACTCCACTCTTTTTTTTTTTTTTGGGGGGGGGGGCTTTTTTATGAGTGGACTTGTCTTCCCAGGTTTGCTTGTGAGTGGGCTTGCCTTCCCAGTGTCTAAGAGCGAAACTTTCAGGCCGAGCCGCATGTTGGTCATGAGATGCCCCGGGCTGGCGTGGAGAAAAATCGGGGCCAGCAGGCGCCACCAAGCGCCCTGGGAGATGAGCGGGGGCCAGCCCGCGCCAAAGCGGAAGAGCGAACAAGCCGAGGGCTCGCCTGGCCGTTCGTCAAAACCGATCTCGGTGGCGAAACCTGCTCTGCTGCCAAAAGCTGAAAGTTAAAGTCCTAACATCCGAGCAAATGCAACAAAGTAATGGGATCCCATTTTGGTTGGGTTTTCGGTGCACCACCCATTTTAGAACCTATTTTAGTGGGGATTGGGATGTTCACAGTACGGGATTTTGACACGGCCACCTGTTGGCAAGTTGGAAGCCACTCTTTGTAGGTTGGTCTTCAAGGGAAACATGGCCAAGTGGGTGTAAGTTGTTGGAGGAAGTTGGAAGGTCTGGATTTGTGAAGCACTCTTTTCAGGTTGGCTTCCAGGCTAAGGCAAACAATCCCAAGTGGGTAGTAGTTGTTGGAGGCAAAAGGAAAGCCTGGGCTTGTTGGTTTGTGGTGTCGGCTTTTTGGGGGGTGCGGGTGTGGCCTGGTCAGGGAAACCCAATCGAAAGCGGGGTCCCCCCAAAATCAGGGGGTTCAACCCTATGATACCAAAGTAGAGCATTCCCGTTGCTACTTTACCACTTCAACAGGGTTTTCTTTGGTGTCAAAGAACTCCGCAATTTCGTTAAGCGGACATCTCAATGTTGGAAAAATCTAGGGAGTGAATCCGCATTCTTTTTGAAAGCGCCCGGCGTTGCAAGCGCCCGGCGTTGCAAGCGCCCAGCGTTTCCCTTGGCTATTTTGGTGGTTTTCTGGCAAGCAGGATCCCTGGAAAGAACGCAGACGCTATTCCTACAGAAACTCACCAAACAAAGTACACGTGGCTTGAACATGTTCAATCAACTTGTTGTTGAGGACGAGAAATGCGCACATCCCCAGTGGTGAACTACTATCTACCTGCGGAAGGACGTCATGCGAGCCCAGCAAAACTAATGGGGTAGAAATAGTCATGACTTGGTTAAACCAATGCCCTACGTTGGGTTCTCTCGTCCAAGAGATACCCCTTGCCAGCGCAGTCACGCCAGCAGCACAGCAAGAAGCCAACCAGCAACCTTCGTGGCTAACTTATTCGACGCAAAGAGGGCATTCCCTCCGCTTCTGTCATCCACAGTGCCCGCTGGCACGGCAAGGCATCAGGTTCTTCCGCTAAGTTTCACAACACTTGCACGCACACACACACACACACACACACACACACACACACACACACACACACACACACACACACACACACACACACACACACACACACACACACACACACACACACACACACACACACACACACACACACACACACACACACACACACACACACACACACACACACACACACACACACACACACACACACACACACACACACACACACACACACACACACACACACACACACACACACACACACACACACACACACACACACACACACACACACACACACACACACACACACACACACACACACACACACACACACACACACACACACACACACACACACACACACACACACACACACACACACACACACACACACACACACACACACACACACACACACACACACACACACACACACACACACACACACACACACACACACACACACACACACACACACACACACACACACACACACACACACACACACACGACGGACTCGCTTCTCGTGGCAGGCTTGCTTTTGGCACTCTGCACAAATCCAAGAAGCTTGGGGCAGGGTGATGGGAAGCACAACCACTTCCGTGATACCACTCGGAAACCACGTTCCCAGTATGAATACAAACCTCAAAGGGAAAGTAACGGATCCCCAAAGGTGACTCAGAAGGGTTTTGCTCGAATACTTCGTTCCCACCACCCGGCTCCAACCACACACACAGAGCAGCAGTCAGACAAGAAGCCCCACATAATGCAAGCGAACAACATCCAACTCCCTGTGCATAATGAGGCTGGCGCTCACTGACCTAGAACCTGCAAGCCAGGTATTTACCATCGCCCGACTCTTGCAGCATCAGGTGATTTAGGGGCCGGGGGTTTTCCCATGGCCTGCCATGACATACTGGAGCGCGTATGCGCACATCTCGGCCAGGGTGATCTTCATCAGCATGCTCTCCTCCCTTGGACTCTCTCAGAGAGCATCTCACATTGCTTTCCCAAGCATGGAAGCTGACGAGATCGGAAGACTACTTTACTTTCCGGACACATCCTCGAAAAGAGGGTACATATCGAGGGCGCGCTCTGCGACTGCAAATCGAACTGAGCCAACGCTGATTCAGCCCGACTTGAGGTCTAAGCACTGCGCACGTGTGTCTGGACGGATGAGGATTGGTCATCCAAGATGGCAGAAGTCAGGCTATGTTGCTAGATAAGTTTGCGTTTTCGAATTTACCATTCTGAGTAAACCATATTTTTCTCATGGTGTCCTCTCCTTGTGGCACCAACCCTGGACTTTAAGCTTGAAACCCTACACAACTTCAGCATCGCAACCTCCATTTTGCCCCTCCCCGGATCAAAATGCCTCCAACCCTGGCCCCATAACGACACAGTTTGCTGGGGTTACATGGGTTGATGAAACGTCGAGGCGCATGTACCCTGGGAACAGCAGCGCCAGCGTGCTGTTCGGCGCCTCCGACCGCTCCAATCGCCGGTCGCTTTCCTCGACGGCAGTGGATGTGAGGCCAATCTCTGCAGCGCTGGAAAGGAGCAACGGGACGGTGGTGGTGATGACCTGCAACCACAGGCTGACCGATAGCCGGCTTCATTTATCCCTTTACACACTTGGTGACACCCAAATGGCTGGGTTGCGGTTGACTTCCCTGCAAAGGCAACACCCATCAAATGCGGGCCAAGACGGAACGCCCCAAAAATGGCGGGTTGCTTTTTGGCTTCCCTTGCAAGTTAGAACCCACCGCCAAAGGGGGGGGGGCATTTTGAAAACACAAAACGCGGAGTCTTTTTCCCTGCAAGGGCCCTTTTAGTTCCAAGTATGTATCCAACTTACAAACATTAGCCCACCAGAACTAAACTCGGCAAACATGGCCACCAAAGGGTGATGCTCAAACGATCCGAGAAAGACAAAAGGGACACAGGCGACCCTCCCGGAAGAGAAGATATTGTTGTCTTCCAAAAAATAAAGAGACGGCTTTGGGCAATCCAGTCAAAGCGAGTCCAAAAGAAGTCCCGACAGACACTGACCACGATTTGGAGGTTGTCCAAACTGGGTGCGCCCTAGACCGTTGCCTGTTGGTTTCCCTCAAATCAACCCCAGAAAGGGTACCTGGACGACCGCATACTTGCGAATTGAACATGACAATCATTTGATTGACGCATTGCCTAATACGAGCTGCAGGTATAGGGAACAAGGGTGCATTTGTTTTTTGGGTCGTTGCATTTTGTTGATACTTGATTTGAATGGAGAAAAACAAACCCACAGGCTTGTCAGCTTGCGCATGGACACACGCCCAGCTGCGAATGATGCCCAGCTTGCACAGCATGTTCCATCTTGCAAGCGGTTTATGGAGGTCCGGGAACAACAACTGCTGCAAGCAGAGTGCCGTTCGCTAGGCCAGTGCCTCTGGCTGGGCCGGCACCAGGATCTCCGCAAAAACTTCATAGAGTTCGTGCGCCGCCGCGCTGAGGAGGCTCAAATCCCACATCCCATGATCCCAGCGGTGAGCGCTGGGGACGCGTTCAAGCGGTTTCTGTTTTTGCGTTTTCGGGTGTTCGGCTTCTGGTTCTCTGCTTTTGTTGGCTGTTCAACCGCCAAGGTTCCCAATTGGTTTTGACGAATCTTTTAAGTGATTTTTTGGTCTAGGTTTCCATGTCCAAGCGCACAAGGGTGAAGTTCCTGAACGGCTTTGACACATGCGTTAAATCAACCTGGTCTTGACACATACCCAGGAAGCGGTAATACGACTGATCGAGTCAGGGCTCTGTCCCCGCGCGAGACTCAAGCTGAGGAGATGTACAACAAACAAGCGATGGCCAGGATTGTGCTAACTGGCAATCGAACAAAAGGGCTCCCTAAAGGAGCCTTCATTCTCGGTGAGGTCGGGCGCGCCCTTGTAAGGTTGCGGAAAACCAACAAAACCGTGGCATGGCGTTTCATGTGCTTCTATCGGCGGCTCAGCAGCTGGGACGTGAGCACTGGGCGATGACCCTCTGACTAAGCTCCTAATATGTCGTACTTGCATCAAATCGCTATTGAATGGTTTCACTATATGACATGATGAAACATATGGCTAGCCAATTTCCTGGGCTTGTCGCAGAAACATGTCTCATTGAGCAGCTTCCATCGTAATGCTTCATATCCAATGCCTCATCCAGGATCTTCCGCACTCTTTGGCACATCTTCACCTGGAACTCGCTGCTATGCTTTCTGATTTGGGTGTGTGTATATATATATATATGGTACCCCCCCCCCAGGGACCTACCTTTTTGATGAATTCACTAGTTTTTGCAGTGTTTTTTACCCCTTTTTTTGGCTTTGGGGAGAGCAATGAAAAAGAAGCATTTCCAAGGGCGTTCTGGAAGCTTCAGGCTTGATTGAAACCGATTTAAACCGATTTAATTTAAATCGGGCATGGATTCAAGATTCAAGATTCAAGAATCCAGGCCAAACTTTTCCAGGGATTCTTGAATCCAGGCGTCGATTTAAACCGATTTAAACCGATTTAACTTAAATCGGGCATGGATTCAAGATTCAAGATTCAAGACTCCCTGGAAAAGTTTGGCCTGGATTCTTGAATCTTGAATCTTGAATCCATGCCCGATTTAAGTTAAATCGGTTTAAATCGGTTTAAATCGACGCCTGGATTCAAGAATCCCTGGAAAAGTTTGGCCTGGATTCTTGAATCTTGAATCTTGAATCCATGCCCGATTTAAGTTAAATCGGTTTAAATCGGTTTAAATCGAGACCCAAATTCAACATTGCACTTTGCGCGGCTGTACTTTAGCACAGTGTTGTGCAAGCATCCAAGTCCTGATTATTCATTCAACCTGTTTCAATCTAGGCCCACATTCAAGATTGCAGGTCAAAGTTTTCTAGGGAATCTTGAACCCAGGCTCAACTGAAATTTCAGTCGGTCTCAATGGGTTTCACTCGGGCCTGGACCCGCGTTTGCAAAGAAGACTTGTCTAGAGAATATGGGTTCTTTCCTTATCAAATCCTGTTAAAGCTCATATTGAATTGCAAGTATATATTGGGAAAGGAACTCTATTTAAACTCGCAATCTCAAATTTGATTACTATTAGGATTCTGACCAAATATTTCCGTATTGAGTCCCAATTAAATCCTGTTCAAGTTCAAATGAGCATTTAGAGAGCGTTCGTTGGTGGAGATGTGAATTGAGTATGAAAAACGCTACACAACACTGTGTTTTGCGGTGTTTTCTGACCAAGGTAGTGTTAGGACTAGTGAAAGACACAAGTTTGGGACCTTTGGATTCGTTCCTTATGCATTCCACTTAGTATGTTTTATCAAATTCAACCTTATTTCTGATTGAAATTCAATGGAGCTTAAGAAGGACATACTCCAGCCAAAATTGCGATTTAGATTCGAACTTAAATATTGACTGTTTATGTCAAATTAAATGGTACAAACTATTTTCTGTCCAATAGACCATTGTACATTGAAATTCAATCACTTTCAGAGCTAGCTAGTCCTAGTTTGGTCCTAGTCCTAGTTGGGAGATCCTTGGTTATAGGCCAAGTATGGTCCCAGCTTACTGAAATACATAGAACGTATATAGGACATTACAAAGGAAGTTCGTTATGAATTGTAGTTAATATATTAGTCAAGTTCTATGCAACTTCTAGCTGAACAATTGAATTTGAAATAAGGAGAATATCCAGTCAGAATTTACATGTTAGGACCAAATATTAAACAGGACTTTTTTCCACCAGAATGTAATACTTGACATCCAAATAATTACTATAAGAAGTAGAATTAAATGGTCTAGTCCTAGTTTGGTCCTAGATGAGAGATCCTTGGTTCTAGTGTTAGGTTGCTCCCTAGTTTGCCGCAACAATTAGAAAATATACAGGACATTGCAGAGGAAGTTATACTTGAAGTTCATTTTTTGTAAGAATCTAAGGTGGGTCGTCTAGTCCTAGTATGGTCCTAGTCCCAGTTCAGAGATCCTGGGTTCTAGTCTCATTTGGTCCTGGTCCTAGTTGAGAGATCGCTCCTCCCAGTCCTAGATGGGCAATTCATGCACTGGAGAGGCAGCCAAAAGGTAGGTCCCTGGGGGGGGGGTAGCATATATATATATAAATAGCCAGCTGTTTTCACTTGACATGTGCTACTGCAAGCATTTTTCGCGCCTGCACACAAAATACTATCACTTCAATTAGTGTTAGTTCACTTAGTGCAAGTAAGTAATTTGTCTCGTTGCTCGTCGTACAATCACATGGAGACAATTCAATACAGTGGTTCTCTGGCACCAAACATAACAAGCCGCACAACGCCACATGTATCAATATGTTTGAGTACTGACTCTGTTGGAGGGAGTCGGAATGGACACAACAGAACATACTCGTTAGCAACAATGAACGCCAACACGTTGAAACTTGAGACATTAATTACAATAGTGGGCGGGCCAATAAGGTCAAACCGAGGTCAGTCTGCTTCTCTAAAAGAGGTCAGAATGAAAGGGGGCTCGATCAAAAGCATGTCCAAAGCGCAGTCCCCGGCATTGACAGGGGTCTTGAAAAGACTAGTTTGGAGCCCGAAAATCCGTTACCCATAGAACAAGACAACACGCGTCAAAGGTTGCTATTGGCCGGATCGCCCCCACATAAGCCACCCTCATAGCAAGCAAGTGCCATTCCCTGCGAAAAGCAGTGACTTCATGTATAACCAGCCTGCAACTAACATGGACAAAGTTGAAGTTTCTCGAAATGAGAGAGCTGCCCAAATTAAACCCAACTCACATAGACCAAACACTTAGGTGAGTCCTTTTGCCCATTTTAGGAGCGTTTAAAGAAAAGTGGAGTCCCCTATTTGGACACGCCCACTTGTGAATCAATACCATGGACACCCCCCCCACCAAAAACACAAAAACACAAAATCTGTGATATCTGTGGAAGAGTCTCCCGCCTGAATGCCCGAGTTGAAGAGCAGCAGCAGGTTGTCTGCTACAAAGGCCACTGATTGGCCGGAGGACCTCAGGCTCCACAAAAGGCAAAAAGCTGCTCATGATCACGGGGGAGACGGGCTGAGCCCAAATACATCAGCCCTTCATACGGGTTACTAAGGGCTTATTTGGGTTCCCTCCCTCTCCCCCAGCTCCCCGCAGCCCCATGATCATGAGGCTTCACTGGAGTTGGATTTCTCCTTTTGTCAAATCTTTTCTTGCAATCGCAGGACTTCCGATTGTCACTGGGAGCCAAAGGTGGGTTTGGAACTAGTCATAGCCGAACCAGGCGGGGGAGGATTCCAAGGTCCATAAGCCCAACCCTGAAACGGGGAACAGGGAACTAATCAAGATGGCATATATTTGTTTCCCGCTTTGAACAGCCTCCCCAAAGCAACCTGGTTTCAAACGGTTCACGTGATGTACCCATTCCATGCTCAGATCACAAATCGTGCGAAGAGCCTTCCACTACGCAATATCCCCGACGCCCACATGCTTACACAATGCGAATGAGGTGCTTCTGCGGGCTTGGGACGTGGATGTGGGCGGGTGGTCGCTGTTCGAGCAAGCTTTCTGGAAGCAACCACCTGCTCTTTGTTGGAAAATAGTGGTGGCGCTTTGTGTTGGCTTCGTGGTGAAGGAGTGGTCCAGCAAAGCACGGAAATGTGGGCCTGCCACCGCATGTCACCCGAAGGATCCAAATGCCTTGCAGTGATCCCTTTTAATTTCAACCGCTCCAAAACCATGCTAAAAGGGTTCTTGGACCCTTTGGGTCCTTTGACATCAACTTTGCGCAATGGGGTACTTGGACTTCTTTGTCAGGCACAGCGCTCCCAGCACGTTTTGGTTCGCCCAACAAGGGATTGACTTTTAAATCCGCCCAACAAGTGTTCCTTCGAAACACGGCACACCGCTCAACGTAGAAACATCACTCCACCCAACGTAAAACTCAGTTTAGAGTTGGCAACCAAAAGGTGCTGCTTACAAATCCCAAGAGCGCAATAGCTCGCTGGTTTGTGCAGGAAACGCTGCTCATATTATGCGTGCGTGCTTTTTGCACCATGGTTTTCAGGGAAGCAAAGAGAAAAGGCACCATCTTGGGGTCTCGTGTTTTGGCACGTACCCATAGTGGTGTGTTTCTCCAAATTCGGGACCCCATCCGGGAGGCTGGTGTCCTTTTCCCTTCTCATTTAAACCATGCCCAGAACAAATCCTGAATTTTGAGAAACCTACGACCTGGTCAAAGCTTCTTTTACGGCTTATAGTCACGGTTCCCTTAGGGAATTCTTACGCTGTGATTCAGACTCCCTATTCCCATGTGAGTCACAATCAAAACCCGGTATTAAAATAGTCGACCCAGATTCTGGTCGCAGCTATTTGTGGCTGGGATTGTCCCTTACTAAGCTTCATCTACCCATGTTTTGATTGTGGCTCAGGTGGATGACCATCCCTGTCAACCCCAAGGGGTCTGTTGACTACGTGGGACAGGCCCTCGGCCGCTTGAGCTGCAGGCAGCATGACGGAGGCATGGATCATGTTCGGGGCGAAGGAGAAAAGCCTCAGGCGCGCATCTGGGGGAGAGGTGGGGGTGGCGCAACCAGCTTGGGATTGTCTCCAAATTACCCAGGGGGGGGCGGGGGTTGGGGAACCGCAGGAATAGGTGTCCCTCTTAAAAAGGCGCACAAATCTCTCACAGTAGACTGAGTCGAAACCAACCACCAACATGTCAGAAAATGCCAGATGGACCCTCCCCAAGCCAGCTCCTGGTACTCACCAAAACATTTGCCGCAGCATCTAAGTGGCCAATACCGTGGATGGGCAAAACTCATTTTGCCCGAGTTGGTAGGTGGTTCATCAAGCTTCGGGGCTTCATCCATCTCAACTGGTGCGAAATGGATATGCCCCATCCACAATATTTGCAAAAAAAGTGATGGCAAAGGCGTAGACGAGATGCTCCCAACCAGAACATCGACGCGTCAATGAAATCAGGACTCTTTTGGGACCCCGAAAGGTGGCACACCATGAAATTCTTGCCCGTTGGCACACATCGCTCGCCAACTCGCCAGAGCCTTCTGACTTTCTGGTACATCCGCCGGAGATTCCAAGCTAGCACACAAGTCTCCTTGCCCCAATCAGTTACTGTAGTTGTTTACATTTACAAACAAGTCTTGAGGTTTGGTATTTGTTTCAACACTTACATTTTGAATACCATGTTCAAAAGCTTAAACGTTCAACCTGTGCTATATCATAATCAAACTTGACTTTTGGTGAACATGGTTGTCGTGGTAAACATCCACTATATGAAAGTCCAATAACTCAGGCACTCATGATTTTAGTGCTTTTTGCCGCAACTTGGAAACACTTGGCTGCGCCGTGATCCCTGGCGGGGCCCTTCAGCCGCGGCGAAGGGAGTCGAATTCCGGTCTTCCAGGACGGCTGAGGTGCAAGCAAAGGAGTCACAATCAAAACGGGTGTGGCTCAAAATGGAACAGGAGGGGTTACGCAGGTGTTGGTCCATGTTTCCACTTACCAGGGTTCCATTTTGGTACCGGTTTTGTGAGCCACAGCCGTATCAAAATGGTCTGCCCAGAAACATGTAAAGAATTCAGAAGGCGGATATCCGCAGCTATTTCCGGCTGGGATTGTCCCTTACTCACCTCCATCTACCCGGGTTTTGACTGTAGCTCCAATGGCGTCTGAGGAGTTGTTGTTGAGGTGCAGGCAGGTTGAAAAGGACCACATTGGCCACCGCCCAAACCAAGAACATGATCAGCAAGGAGCCTGCGCGGGGTTCTGAGAGCTTCAGGAAGCCATACCCCGATAGAGGGGTGGGAGGCTGGTCTCATTGTTTTACCATGATCAAAGTCACCCCCTAAGTGATGGGTTCAAGGGAAACAACCTCATTTCTGACTTTGACAACCCGTAGAAACAATCAAAATAATGACCTCAGTGAGGGGTTTGTTGGAACAACAGGGGGAGGGGGGGTAGGGGGGACGGGACGGGGTCTCAGCCAGGCTCCAGTTTGCGGCATAGGTGATCCCTTCATCGGTCCGCCGGTTTTGCCCCCGGCTCGCTAGAGCTGATGAATACGTGCCACTGCACCATGCCACGTGATCGCGGTCACAACACTTTGCAATTCACCAAAGTGCCAAGAGCAGCGGCATGCATCACTTCCATTTGGTTGAGGCCCCAGAAAAAATAAAACATACTTCCAGTAGCCATGAATTCCTTTTAAAACCAGCAAGGTTTTTCGCGTTTTTTTGTTTTAATATTCTTAAGCAACTGGAGGAGCACTTCTCCGCAAACTGCGACCGCTTTTTTTTCTCCTGAGGCTGGCTTTGGGCCCAGGGCCGAAGGATCCGAAAACTTCAAAGAAAAGCTCTGGCCATGTTCAAGCTGCCGATTTGTGGCTGTCAGGGTCTCTTCATGGATCTTCCCAGGCTTTGCAAGGCACGAGGAGAAACACGTGGGAGCTCCACTGAGTTGCAGGCAATTGGCATCAAAACCCAAAGCTTCTCACTGACAGGACATTAAAACTCTGATTGCAGCGCCGAGGCGCGCATAAGATGCACGCTGCATCCTCAAAATCCAAAGATGAAATATAACGTGTCTGTCACGTCTCAATGTTACGGACTCCAGGCGGTTGGCTTCGATCCTTCCGCCCGGAGTCATTCCCATATCATCATATCGCTTGGCGAGGCCTCAGAGTAAGGTCTGTCTGAGAGGTTTTGTCATCAACGCGGGCCAGGGCGTTGTTTTAAACAAGAGCAATGGCTTGTGAAGGCACAGACTGCAAATCAACCGATCTTGATGTGGTCCCACAACAATCGTGTTGTTCCATACATCTTTTTTCGGATGCAATGGAACGCAGCAAGTCATGAAGCAATATGACGTTGAGAAACAACCCTTTGTTGGAGGTGGGGACTGTTCTCAAGTTCAGGCTCCCTTCTGCGAGCCAGCTTGGAGAAACACCATCAAAATTGCAGGGAAGCAGAGTCAGCTCAGGATCCTGATGCATAGAATAGGCAAACAATGCTTGAACATAAGAACGCAGTTGCTTTCTGCTCCCCTGCTAAAAGTTTGACTCTTAGTGGTTTAATGGAAATCCCATTAGTTGGCAAAAAGTTGAAGTCCTAACCTCCAAGCAAAATGCACCAAAGTAAGCATCCGTGAACATCCCAGCTGCGACGGCCTGAGCCGTTGCTGATGCTCACCTACCCGGCTGCTCCGGATCGAATCCAACCGCACAGCTCAGGGGCTGCAAGACTCACAGCTCACACCCCTTTCCTCATCTCCGGCGAAGCGTGGTGCCTGGCACGGTGCTTCTGAAACGAAGGGAGCGCATGTGACGTCCCATACTGAAATTGAGGGCCAAGTTAAAAGGTTGGTCCCATTTGGCTGTGGCTCAAAAACCGGAATCCCAAAATGGAACCCGATCGCTAAGTGGAAAAACATGGACCAAAACCTGCGGTTTGCCCCTCCGATCCTTTTCATTTTGAGCCACACCCCTCTGCGGAAAGCGCTTCAGCGCGTGTCTTGTGCCGCACTGACTGGATACGCTGTGGCCTTGGCCACCGCTTTCGAAAGTTGGGCTTGCAATCAAGCATTGGCCAGGATGACGCACTGCCTGATCCTGCCCAAACATGCGTTTATGTAGATATATGTGTGGTATGTGTATATACATATATACATATATGCACATGTACGCATCTACTTCCAACAATGTTTGATCTGAAATGGACCTGACGTAACCAAGCTTCAATCATCTGACCTCGAGGCACCACTGACCTTTCCAAAAGAACCGCCGCCACCAGTAAAGTTTCTGCCCGCTTAGGTGACCCAATTCGCTCAATGCAAACACAAAACGTAGGCAATAGGTTGTGTTCCCTTTGTGGCTGCGGTGTGACAGTATTTCAGAATCCGGCAAGGAAGGCCAAGGTGTAATTGCAAAACAGGGCCCGTGTTGTCCCACTTTCGATCTAGGAGTACCGCCACTCAGGATCTTTCGTAAGCTGTTCAACTGTCCACTTCATGGGTATCATTGGGTGTCTTCAAACAGGGGACCCTGCTGAGTGGGTGAGTCTTGCATTTGTTTCCCCACCCCAACACACGAGAGCACGTTGAAAAGAAAGACATGCCCATGGGAGTCCCTGCCAGCGACGTGCCTTGCTTGGGCGCCTTGCCTCGCAAAGCCTCACAGGGCGGATCTTTTTACCAGCTCCTATCGCAAGAAGGGAAGGGACACCTTCTTGTTTTTTGTTGATTTGGTCACCTTACTTGCAATTTGCACGGAAATGACCCTGCAGACCAACCTTGAAGCACAATCAAGTCAACCACGGTTAGAGGTGCCTGCTCCTGTGATACTCTCTGAAGATTAAGACAGAATCCCCCAAAGCCCATTCGTTTTGGAACCTCCCGAGGACCCCTTCCAATGAATTGCCAGGAGAGTATCCCGGGCAATTTCAAGTAGGCAAGGGCAAAACGGGGAACCCCGCACTCTCCTCCTTCGGTCAGTTTGTGTGTGTTTTCCCCGCACAACTTACCATTGTGGCGCATCTCGAAATTGAAGGCCGGTTAGCCTATTTTCGAACAGAAATAGAGGCAGGGAGGGCGACCCAAAAATCGCAACACATCCGTCTGCGCTATGGTCTCAACTCTGGAACCTTGTGTGGACGGCCATTGGAATTCATCGTGACGTAGGTTAACACTACTACATCATCGGGCGTGCGCAATTCTATGCCATCCCACCCCCACTCCGGGAATCCTTCTCTTCAACAAGTCTAGCAAGAAAGGGTGACTGCAGCGAATATGTGAACAGCCGTTGGGCAATGAAGCGAATCAACCGAGCGCAAGGTGGACTTTGGTCCTCGGAAACCGTGTTATTGAAACTTTGCCGGAGGTATTGACAGGCATGCTCTTACATACTGGCCCTCTGAGCTTGATGGTACACTACTTCTGCATGGTCCAGTTGAGTAGCAAAACTCTCTGGAGGATTTGGGAGGGGTCCAACGGGTGAGCGATGCAAGCCGAGGTTCCCAGACACATTCGGTACCTAGGCCAGCAACCAAAGCTGGCACATGCTGGATCCCCCGTGTGGGACTCGAATGGGTCTCTGACCGAAAAACTCCCAGATGATGGCTTCGAATAACAAGGTGCCGATCGCTCGCATCCAAGGAAAATCATGTGTGTCGCAGAACCCCTTGGTCAGACCCCATCTGGCTATGATTTTTCATTAGGGACCCAGCTTTTGGTGGACATCATTTGGGTGGACATCTTATGTCTACCACTTTTCAGGGGCTCCCCATAAAAATGCCAGAACCCCTTTAAGTCGCATCACCCGAACATCGCTCACAGCTCGCGCGGAGCCTCTGCTGCTGCGCTGCTGCCGGCCCTCACGATGTACACGGCCTGACCGGTCAACGCCATGCCACACCGATGGGTGGCTTTCTGCTCCCCTACTAAAAGTCTTTAACTTTTGATAAGACTCTCCATGACCCTTCAAAAATGGGGTCATGACCCCTTTCTTTTGGGTAATGACCCCATTTTTTAAGGGTCATGGAGACTCCAGGTGGTTTAATACGGAAAACCCATGAGTTGGCAAAAGTGAAAGACCTAAGATCCCTTGGCAAAATGCAACATGCCCAACAGTCTTGAACCCGCCCGCCGGCCAGCCTCAGCTTGCCATGTTGCAACTGCGAGGTGAAGCTTTCTTCTCCATTGGAGGCAAGCATGGTTGCGGGAGGTTGTGGGAACGGAGGGTTTGGCCTTTCTGTGATTCACGGGGAACCTCCTCCGTTGGATAAAGTGGTCGTAGGCATGGCCCACTTTGCCATCGCAAACAGGTTCATGTCCCACCATAGGTTGTAAGCAAGCCTTGGAACGCGCCCCCACTCCAGATCCTGCCTGCACACTTGGAGCCCCGCGGAGAACATCCGCCGCGCTCTCCAACTTCGCCTGCGAGATTGTCTCTTTGACTGCGGAAATGCAGCAGAACACGTCTTGGGATGGCATGTTGTTCCAACCCTGTGTTTCTTTCGCCTTTGGTCGGCTGCTTGGTGTATTGCGTATTGCCTATTTTTTTTTCTAACATGCTCCAAAGACTCCTGCTTGCCCAGGGCCCGGCTCATATGTCAAGAGTTCAAAGCTGAGTAAGAAACCTGCGCATTCCAAAAAGTACAGCTCCCGTTTTATGGCGAAAACGACTCCACCATGCCGGCCCATGATTTTCGTCGGCCAGTGGCTTCCAACCTTTAAGGTCACGAGAAGGGATGGATCTTTTAGAGCCTCAAACACTTCAACAACCTAGGCTGTCCTCAGATCCGCTAAAAGTTTAACTTTTAGTGGGTTAAATGGAAATCCCTACTAAACACTAAAAGGCTAAAAAGCTAAGGGGATGGCTGGAAACCACCAAGAAACCAATGTAGTACTGCCGAAGGATCGGCAACTCGCGCCAAGAAAGGCGTCCCACGCCAACTCCTAGCGATCAAACTTCAAGTCCTGCCGTTCGGATTCGGACACCAAGGAAACTTGGTTCACTGTAAGCACCCCCACAACTTGCTTGCATGGGTCCAACTTGGGGCCGATAGGGATGGGTTCATGAAACGCAACAAACAAGACCCACCTTTGGGCCCAATGGCCGCCCAGCGTCTCTCAGGAAGTTTTGAAGAAGGTCTGAAGTGGGGGTTCCAAACAGAAACTCTGGAGGTGACCCCATCGAGAACCACCTCAAATGCCCACAAAAGAATCGGTGAACTCATTTTTTTCGAGCTCCGCCCAGTCTG